ACACATTTTTATTGCTCTCACATTTTAGACAGTCTTATGTTTGGCATTTCAAGTCTTGGGGTGGGGAGAACAGCTGACTCCAATTCTTGACTTCCTTTAAGAAATAATTAAAAAGAGATAACATGATTTCATAAAAATAACACTATCTTAGGAAAAAGATAGTGTTAATCTATCTTAATCTTTTTAAGTCTCAGTTTTTCATTTAAAAAAATGAGTTGAAGAGGGATAATCTGCAGTTCTTCTCAACTCTGAAATTTGGTTATTTTTCTTTAATTATAGAAAATTTCAAACGTACATAAAGTAGACAGAATAGTATAATGGACTTTCAGACACCCATTTCCCACTTCCATAGTCATCAGCTTGTGGTCTATCTTGTTTTATTTTATACTTGCCTTATTCAACTCTCTGCTTTCTAGAGTAATTTGAAGCAAATCCAAGGTATCAGATTATTATGTGTCTCTGAAGTATAGGATTCATTTTTCTTTAACCTTACCACACCTAAAAAAAAAAAAATTCCTTAATATTATTAAAATATACTGACAATGCTTAAATATCTTCAATTATCTCATAACTATTTTTTTTAAACAGCTAGTTCAAATAATGATCCAGACTAGGCCCACATATTAAATTTGGTTGATGTGTCCCTTAAATCTCAATCTATAGTTACCCCCTCTCATTTTTTTCCTATTTGCCATTTATTTTTTGAAGAAACCAGGTAAATTGTCCTATAGAGTTTCCTACATTCTGGAGATGGCTGTTTGTGTCCTTGTGACATTGTTTAGCATGTTCTTCTGTGCCCTATATTGCCTGTAAATTGGTGTTTATATCAAAAGGGTTTAATCCAATTCATGTTCATTTTTTTTCTTTTTCTTTTGGAATTTTCTCCCTTTTTGTAATGTTCAAATTTCTCAGTGGGGTCAGCTAGATTCATCCACTATAAAATTCCCCATTGACTTTTCATATAATGGTTTAACACTCAGACCCGTTGTTTCATTGCGGTTGAAAAATGGTGATACTATCTGATTTTTAGCTACAATTATTTATAAAGAACTTTTCCCTTATCAATATTTGAATACCCCAAGGTATCGTTTACACAAGAAAATTAGGATAAATGTTTGATTCTTTCCTTTTATTTAGCAGTTTTCATAATGAGTTGATTCCTAAACATCTCCACAGGTCATCAATGAATGTTGTTTTTATAAAAATCATTATAAGCTTATTGATTTAAATATATTTGATGTGTTTCAGTTCTCTATGAATGTTAATTTTTTAAAACTCAGATTGTCGGCCAGGCACGGTGGCTCACGCCTGTAATCCTAGCTCTCTGGGAGGCCGAGGCGGGCGGATTGTTTGAGCTCAGGAGTTCGAAACCAGCCTGAGCAAGAGCGAGACCCCGTCTCTACTAAAAATAGAAAGAAATTAATTGGACAACTAAAAATATATAGAAAAAACTAGCCGGGCATGGTGGCGCATGCCTATAGTCCCAGCTACTCGGGAGGCTGAGGCAGGAGGATCGCTTGAGCCCAGGAGTTTGAGGTTGCTGGGAGCTAGGATGACGCCACGGCACTCTAGCCCGGGCAACACAGTGAGACTCTGTCTCAAAAAAAAAAAAACAAAAACTCAGATTGTCCCTTGCTTGGAAAGTGAGAGCCCCTTCAAGTTGGCTCCTGAGTCCTTTTCACATAACCTTAGCAAACTCTGATGGCTTCCTTGCTTTGGGTATGACAAGATGTTCAGGCTTAGTGTGCATTTTATACTCCAGGCTTGGAATCAGTCATTTATCCAAAGAGCCCTGATTCCTTTTAATGAAATTCTTTTATATGTTCCTAAATATTGACCAGCTACTTGGTTACAGTGTGGGATGGCTAGTTATGAAAAGGCATCCAAGGCATCATACACTGTGGCTGGTTATGACCAAGTTTATCAGTCTGATTTTAGAAAGGGAAACAAGATCGCTTTGCCCATCACTCAGATTGCCATTCATATCCAGGATTATTTCTGGGAAAACAGACAGTAGAAGTGTAGTTAAAATGTAAAGACAAGTGATTGTGAGAAGCAGTGCTCCTTCACAAACATGATCTTTATGTTTTTATTGACATTTCTTTAAAGGGCAATGATGTATAATATAGATATGCTATTAAAGCATAGAAAATAAAGTTAATATATCTCTCACATAATTCCTCTATTCTATACTCATATTTTAAAAGGTTAAAAATATTTTTTCCCCTAAAATTTAACCTACTACTTTTTGTGATTTAAAATTCTCTAACTAGAATGAACTTTGTTTTTCTCAAAACAAAGGGCTAAATTGAAGACATAGCCACCTCTGGGCCAACTGATTGGGATTCAAGATGTGGAAATCCCAGTCAGTTGACCCAGAGGTGTCTATGTCTTCAATATAGTACTTTCTCCTTTGTCCCCTCTCTAGCTCCCTCCAACCTCCAAATTGCCTTCTACTTGCTTCCTTCTGTGAGGCTTTTCTTCACCTCCTCTGGGGTGCAATGTTTTAGATGTCTTTGCCAACCCTGTGGTGTTACAGCAGCTGTCTGTTTGGTCTTTCCTCCCCTGGAATCAAAGTCCCTTAAGACCCAAACCAAAAACCTAAAGGATATCCTTAATGTAAATGTCACCTTTTAATTGCTTTTATCCTGTGTACTTTGAAAAATACTCATCCTTCCTATAGTTTTGCTGATCGCCACTACTAAAGGTAGAAAAATATTTTAGGCGACAATTTTAGATTAATGAAGTTGCCATTAATAAACTTTGTCAGTGTTCTTTAAGAAATTAAGGTGAGATTCCTAGAGGCAAATGAAGAAGATACTTGCAGCCTAGGATCAAGATTTTTCTGTAATTCTTTCTCAGTATTGACCATTCTCACTGAGTAAAAATGTCCCAAAAAAGAGCTACTATTGAAGTAGATGTAGTGAATGAAAATGTTTCTAGACACATTTTTATTGCTCTCACATTTTAGACAGTCTTATGTTTGGCATTTCAAGTCTTGGGGTGGGGAGAACAGCTGACTCCAATTCTTGACTTCCCAATATCTTATTTTTCTTCCCTAATCTAGTTTGGGTTATAGTTAACTAAATAATTGGCATCCTGTCAGTTTTTATAGGAAATAATAATATAAACTGCAAAGTTATTTGGAAATTTCTCTATTTTAATCAATTATGATTATTTCTCTTTTTAACATAAATTAATCTAGGATGTAAAGCAGGAGTTAATAAAGTTGGTTAAGGCGGCGGGTTTTTCATCTTCCACAACTTCTACCAGCTGGGAAGGAAACAGAGCCTCACAGACCCTCTCTTTCCAAGAAATTGCCCTTCTTAAAGCTGTATTGGCTGCTGGACTGTATGACAATGTGGGGAAGATAATCTATACAAAGTCAGTCGATGTTACAGAAAAATTGGCTTGCATTGTGGAGACAGCCCAAGGCAAAGCACAAGTACATCCATCCTCAGTAAATAGAGATTTGCAAACCTATGGATGGCTTTTATACCAAGAGAAGGTAAAGTACTCATTTTTAAATTCCAGTATTCAGGGCATTATTCTAGAAGTCATTCATAACAAGTTAGGATGCCCTAACAAGTATTTTATTTGGTTTTCAAATTGAGCAGTTCATTTTTGTTCATATCTGAAATCAAGATGCACATAGTTTCTCAAACAAACAAAAAAATGCTTATTTCTCTTAAATAAAAAAAACAAAGGCCAGGTGCAGTGGCTCATGCTTGTAATCCCAGCACTTTAGGAGGCTGGGGCAGGAGGATCGCTTGAGGACAGGAGTTTGAGATCAGCCTAGGCAACAAAGTGAGACCCCCCATCTCTCTTCAAAAAAATTTTAAAAATTAGCCAGGTATGGGGGCATACACCTGTAATGGGAGGTTGGGCAGGAGGATCCCTTGAGCCCAGGAGTTTGAGGCTATAGTGAGCTACGATCAGGCACACCAGTCCGCGTGACAGAATGAGACCCTGTCTCCGTTAAAAAAAAAAAAAAAAAAAAAAGGGTTTCTACTCTGACCATCATCTTTTCTACTTGGATTAAAGAGAAAAATAGCAAATAGCTGTTGGCTAATAATGTATTAATACATTAATTAATACATTAATACATTAATTAATAATGTATTAATTCCCTGAATATTTTACTAAAGATGCTCACATCTCAAAAGTGAAAAAAAAAAAGACAAGTTTTATGTGCTGTTTCCAAATAAGGAGAAAATTGGATGGGGTAGAACTGTGGATGATTCAGCAACAGTTTGAGTCACAGTATCACCTAAGATAATTTAATAGCAAATATTTATAGATTACAATTGAAACAGCTAACCTTTGAATTATAACTGCATTGCCACTCCATTTTCTTAGATTTTAACATACAGTGAAGGTTAAGATGGCATTTTCTCTTCTTCATATTTTGGATTTTTGTTGGTTATCTCATTCACTCATTTTTAAGGCAGTAGGAGAAGAAAAGGAAACGTGTCAAATTGAAACATATTTCTTCTCCCTTTACTAAAAGAGTACCTCCATTATGTTTCTTGACCTTTAAAGTAACATAATTTCAAGCACCCAACATATCATCAAAGTTAAGTGGAAAACATGAGAAATTACTGACAGATGGTCACAGCTGAACACTGGTCTAGAAACCAGAAATTTGGAAATGTAACCATAAGTTCATTTTAACATTATTTAAGATCATTATAAAGCATTATAAAATTGCTTTAGTACCTAGTTTCATTTATGTTCAAGGCATATAATTCAGCCTCACAAATAATATTTAAAATGCATTTTCATAGTATAATTCCACAGGTAGTAATAGCAGTTATAAAATGGACAAATTGTGCACATAAGAGAATGAAAACACATAGCTTTACAAAAACCTATGGCTTAAAATATAGAATAACAAATTATAGAAAAATGCTTACATAAAAAAGATAAATGAATTTATTATATTTTTAGACTTTGAAGTTCTTTCCCCTCCCCCTTTTTTTCCTATGTAGGTAAGGTATGCCAGAGTATATTTGAGGGAAACTACCTTAATAACCCCTTTTCCAGTTTTACTTTTTGGTGGTGATATAGAAGTTCAACACCGAGAACGTCTTCTTTCTATTGATGGCTGGATCTATTTTCAGGTACATAGTACAACTGATTTTATGGATTACTAAAAATTTTCAACTTCTAATACCACTGAGGTAGAATTTTTAAAATTTTATTAGAGTTGCATAATTTCTTACTATAATATGACTTAAGGTAGAAGACTTCCTTATTTTGTCATGCCTATATGGTTTTAAATCTGTTAAAATTTGAAAATCAAATTATATTGCTATTATGTGCTGGTTGTGGTGTCACGCACCTGTAGTCCCATCTACTTACTTGAGCCCAGGGGTTTGAGGCCAGCCTGGGCAATATAGCAAGACCCCATCTCTTAAAAAAAAAAATTAGACTGGGCACAGTGGCTTTTGCCTGAAATCCTAGCACTTTAGGAGGCTGAGGTGGGAGGATCACTTGAGGCCAGGAGTTCGAGACCAGCCTGGGCAATAGTGAGACCCCATCTCTACCCCTCCCCACCAAAAAAAACCCAAAATTAACCAGGTGTGGTGATGCATGCCTATAGTCCCAGCTACTTGGGAGGCTGAGGCAGGAAGGATTATTTGAGTCCAGGAGTTTGAGGTTGCAGTGAACTATGATTGGGCCACCTCACTCTAGCCCAGGCAACAGAGCGAGACTCTGTCTCCAAAAAAAAACAAAACTATATTGCTATTACAAATTATAATCATCAATAACAATTCTAACTTACTATGTATTGGGTACTTCAATAGTTAACTTTATGGATTATCTCAAATATAATATCCTAACAACCTTGTTAGAGAATTTCTATAATTTCTTTTCTATAAACAGACACTCAAGCACAGTGTGAAATCTTTTATTAACATATTATACCATGATAGCTTTTTATCTAGAATTGGAGAGGTGAATTTTAAATGCAACTTAAAAAACATATGCAGTTTGTGCAAAAAAACTAGGATGGTATAAATGTTCTATAACTGGATTGTGGTAATAGTTGTACAACTCTATAAATTTGCTAAAAGTCATTGAAATTGGACACTTAACAGTGAGTGAATTTTTATGGTTTGTAAGTTATACCTCAATAAAGCTGTTTAAAAAATTTTCCCTCCCCAAAACTGCAGTCTTAACTTCCAGAGTTGATATAAGAGAATAAAACAGTAGAATTAACAGTTGCTTTATTTTAGTAAGAGTTACTACATTTAATAAGGAAATCAAGAGGTTTACATAGCTTAGCTACCAGAAATAATTTGTCTCTATTTTCCCCATTGTGTTTTATATTAAAATCAAGATGTGCTATGGCAAATTGGAAGGGATATACGCTTGCCTTGATTTATTTAAACACATTCACACTGTCCTGGGTTAACTTTGTCCAATTTTACATCTCCTCTCAACAGGCCCCTGTAAAGATAGCTGTCATTTTCAAGCAGCTAAGAGTTCTCATTGATTCTGTTTTAAGAAAAAAGCTTGAAAATCCAAAGATGTCCCTTGAAAGTAAGTGTTTGATTGTAATATAGGTGAAAGACAGTATATGTGTATGTATATGTGCATGTGTATACATAGGTACACATACATATATGTATTAATGTGTGGGAAAACTTTCTAAGAGAAAAACTGATTCTAGAAGTTGTGATTTTTTTGGGAAACATTGGAGTGTACTATAGCACATTGAAATCTTAAATTCCATGTGATTAAAAATTGTTTTAATAAAATCTATTTTCTGAATTCCATCAAACTCAGGTAATTTGTGATTATTCACAAGCTAATTATCCTCCTAAGATTCATTTAGTTTACTCCTATCTCTTCTAAACTTCATTTCTGAACTTCTGGCCATTTTATGGTGGAAAAAAGGTTAAAAAAATTGAACATATTAACTTTGCTACTTACAAGCATCCTGGTAAATTGGTAGTTATTATTTAAAAATAAAAAAATAAATGACAAATAAAACCAGCTTCATCTTCACACCTTATAGTCCCTGCTTCTTGGGAGGATCACTTGATCCCAGGAGTTCAAGTCTAGCCTGGGCAACATAGTGAGACTCTGTCTCTAAAAATTATTTATATGTATGAAAGAATTAGGGATTTTCTGTGAGGTTTATCCTAGCATGTTTTCTACCATACATTTCTCACAAATGCAGAGCTATCGGTCTGTATAAAATAAATACATTATCCTTCAACAGAAATCTGAAGTGGACACCTGATTTTCATTTTGCAGTATTTCTCAGACTTGCCAAATCATCCGAATCATCCTGGCAGTTGTAAAAAAGTACAAGGTCTGAAGACCTACCATAGACATATTGATCTCCTCTATAGGATAGGCCTATGGCTACATTATTAATCTTTTATTCTGTAACACTTCTCTACAACTACCCCCCTTCTTAAATGCATTTTATTATTTTTAATAAACTGGGTTTTCAGTAAAATGCCCCACATTTGGATTTCGTTGGTTGCATCCTCACGCTTTAACGTGTTCTCTGTTTCTTCTATTTCCTATAAACTTGGTAGTTATATCTGCAGGCTTGATTAAAATCAGGTTTTGAGGGAAAGGAGTGTTTTCTAGTTGGTGCTGTATTCTTCCCATTGCATCGCATCAGGAAGCACTTAAATTTGGTTTTCCTGCTTTTATGATTGTGCTTGTACTCAGTATGATTGTACTTAAAGTATCCTCAGTTAATTCTCAGTTAGGCAGGTTGGGGAGCTACTGATCTTGTGCTGCTACTTTGAAGCCCCATACTCTGTGTTTATTTGTATAACTGGATGTGAATATATAAGCATTGAACTGTATTGATTTTCCTGTACTGCTGGAAACTGAGATCAGGTCTTGATATAGTAAGACCTGTGGGCTCTTTTCTTAGGGAGCTTTGTGCATTACAACTTTAACATTAGAAAGAGTTACATAATATAAAAGATAGATTGAACCTCGACTTTTAAATAAATTAAAATGAATTTTTTAAATGATTTAAGTATTTCCCTTTGCCATAAAAGGGAAAGCATGCTTGCATTATTTCAGGACAGGGAAAGAAAAAAAAGAGAGACAGAAAGCAAAACTTACCCTTGGATGTTATGTATACTTCTGACTTGGGAGGGAGGATGAAGTACATTAGTGTCCTCTGTTAGTGGACTTAATAAAGAAAAGTTGTGATAGAATGCCAGACTTTTGAAAAAGAAGTAACTAAAGTTGCTCTTGTGCTTTCTTTTACTCTCTTGCTCTTCCTCAAATTAAAAATCATAGTTCTTTCTAGACCTGCCATTGTTCCACTTCAGAAGAGAGACCTTCTCCCCTCCCCACTTTTTCTTCCCCCTAATGCAACTAGGGGGTAGCCCCCAAGAACCTGAGTGTCAGGTCATGGGCCTGTTTATCAAAATTCCCATTGTAACCCTTGAAACCCAGAGCATTCTATTATCTAATACAAATGTAGAATTTCAGTCTTACAGCCCTGATAACTATCTAAAGAGTGGTTATGAGGTTCTTAGGAAGTCACAATTTCAGAGCAACTGTTGAAAAGTAGAAGCTCTGTCAACAAAACTTCCTTAGCAAATAACGCAACCTCTATTGCTCTGTTTGTCAAATCAATTGGTGTTTGATTCGTTTGTTGTGTGAAGAGGTCCATCATTTCCCCATTGACACCTGTCTGAGAGCACTTCCCTGTTAGAAAATTTTGTTTCCTTTGTGGAGAAACATCTGATAACAGTTCTTTCCTCCATGCACATACTTTGAAAATCCTGCCATACTCTTCAAAAACACTGAAGAGTCAATAGAGCCTTCAGTATATTTTAAGCAGGTGAAAAAATTGGGAAATTTCTTGTCTTAAAGGAATTTTTAAAGAAATAATTCCTTATAAAGAAGTAACAATTTGTATCCTAGGATCTCTTTAGGCCTTAACCTATACATACTCAGATATTAACTTTTTTCAGAATGTTAAGTTTTTGTTGAAGTGGGTGTAATATAACTGTAGTGGTAATTAAAATATTTGTAGGGCTAAAAATGTTTTGTAGGCATCTCTAGTTTTATAGTGAATATTGCTGGTGTTAATTTTGTATTCTAATTTAAGAAAATCTTCATGAAGTATACCTCTTATTTACACGTGTATGCATTGGAAAATTAGCCAGTGTTGCAGTTAATCATGGTATTTTTTTTTCTTCCACTCAGATGACAAGATTCTACAAATCATTACGGAATTAATAAAAACAGAGAATATTAATTGAAACTAAAATTCATGGTGAACTGCTTTAAAAATTAAGATGAAGATGCACTCATGAAATTATGTGAAAATGGACATCCCATTAAGTATTTCATAACTTAAAATGTTGGTACTGGTCATTAATGTAAAGGTGGTGGGGGAAAAAAAGCACATACTTTAAACATGTGTAATTTTCTAATTCCTTTTTAATGATGATGATTCTCAGTGTATTTGCCACTACATTTACAATAAATTTAGTATCATCCAGTTTTACATGATTATGTGCCTTAAGGGCACAGCTTGTGTCTGTATTATCTTTACCTTCATGTTGTGATTCCCTATGTAGCTACCTAATCTTCTATCAGACCTTGATGTCTGCAGAATTTAGACCATCTTGACCCAGAAGAGAAGATGAGTTCCAAAACCAATTATAATTACATTTCCCTGAAAAGGAACAACTTCAGAAGTCAGTTAATTTAATATTTGATACTCAAAATCGGAACCTAAATAAGTATACTATTAATAGATGCCACCTATTTCAGTAACATTCAAAAGGCATACAGATGTAGTGCAGGATTGTCTAATGTTACTGCCAACCTTGAGTTGGATAGTTTGCACTATTTTCCTTAATCCAAAGCTTTGATATCACTGCCCTTGAAACCTTTTTGCACCCACAGTTGAAATGGTATGGTCGGTAACCTTGAAATACTAGAGTGTGCTTAGATATTTTTCAGTGGTCTCATTTGTTTTGCTTACTGAGGATCTTTTGAAACTCCACTTTGATTACTTAGAGGGAATTTCTGTTCATTTTCTATCAATAGACTATTGATGAAGTTCAAATATAGTCCTTCGTAAATCAAATGGCAGAAATTTTAATTGAAGGACAAAAGATTAGAATATAATAGGAACCTAGTACCTTGGCTAGAACTTTGGCTCTCATAATAGGTACTCAATTTTAATATTTGTTGATGAACAAATAAAAGAGGCCATACTTTGACCTTATGTGCAGATAGAAGTAAAAATAATAGTAGCAATCTCTAATTTTAGTTTTCTACTTGGAGTGTGGCAAGGGAATTGAGAGCAAGGAGTCAAATGTGGCTGTGGTTTGGAATCTCTATTGAGTGTCATTAATACAAATGGATTTGTCAGGTGAAAGAAGTATTATTAGATCAGGTGCTGGAAGCAGTTCCACTTGGGACGTATAAAGGCAGAGGAGTCATGGAGTCCTGCAGGTGGATCTGATTGATCAGTCATTTTGTATGTGCCAACTAGTGCCCCAAGTTATTTTGTCTATTAACTTATATAGTACAACAACCCATGAGGTAAGTACTGTATTAACACCATTTTACAAATGAAGAAATTGAGGCACAGAGAAGTGAAAAACCTGGGGTCCAAGATCACACTGATAGTAAGTGACAGAGGCATTATGGCTCCAGACCTATTTAAATTTCTGAAATGTAATCATTATTCCTTTGAAAAGTTGAAACAGTGGCTCACATCAGGTAGGGTCATAGGGTTAGAGTCTTCCACACAGACATGATAGTTATGGGAGTTGAGATAATCACCAAAGGAGAGGGGAAAGATAAGAAAATTGAGGTTAAAACCTTGCGGAACTCCCTATTTCAAAGTCCATCACTTCTTTCCATCTCCCCAGCCATCATTCAGACCTAGGTCACCATTATCTTTCACCTACATCACTGTAGTAATAGGCTCCCCCCTTCTTTTTATACCTCCTTAATCCAAAAACAATGATGTTTTTAAAAGACATCTGTCACTTGGCTTCCCAATAAAATAAAATTTAAAGTTCTAAACATGACCTTCAGAGCTCTGACTGACCAGGACCTTGTTACCCTCCAACCTCATCTTCTCTGCTCTCCCACTTCTCATGGTGCTGCAGCCACATCAGGGTCCTTTTCCAATTCCTGGAAGATGCCAAGCAGTTTTTCTAAGCATTTGCACATGCTATTCTCTGCCATAATGGACTGCTTCTTGTTCTTTACCAAGCAGGCTTTCCTGTTTCAATACTCTCTACACAGACCACCCTACTGAAGTGCATCTCCCTTTTTAATCACTCATGTCACAGTACTATTCTCGGCTTGTACCGTCTGCTTTTTGTCATCTCCCACTAGACCATATGCTGCACCATAACTGTTTGATTCACTAAATGTGTATGTAGTACAATGCCTGGCATGTACAGGCATTCAGTAAATGTTGAATGAATAGACGAGGTGTGAGGAGCGCCAGGGTAAATCTGTCTTACGGAATCCAAAGAAGAAGAGTTTCTGGAAGCAAGAGTATTGTCAATAGATATTATAGACTAAGGAAAGGCTACTAGATTTAATGAATGCAAAACTTTTGAGAGCAGTTTTAATTGAGGGTGGCAATGAAGGACACTTTCAGAAGTCCCACAACTGTCCACACATTAGGTAATTCACTAGGCCTCGCAGGACTCAGAGGTTATAGTTTATTATAGAGAAAGGATACACAGTGAAATCAGCAAGGGGAAAAGATATCACATGGAGACTGAAGGGATCTATACACAGGCTTCCTATGTTTTATGCAGTTTTCTGCCCAGAGAAGCCCACTTACAGACTCAGACTCTAAGGATTTTTATTAGGGGCAGGTCATATAAGCACACAGACCAGGCATAAGTATCAAAATTCCAGACTGCCAGAAAGAAAGGAGGTATTTAATGCTTTAGCAGGCAAAATGGTGTTATCTGAAAAGCAGAGAATTTTTCAAAAGCCAGGTTCCCAGGCTCCAGCCAAGGGCCAACCTTACAAGCAGGCCCATCTAAAGACCTTTGGCCTGCTATGTTAACTCTTTTCTGCACATGCACAAATCAATTTTAGTGAGAAAAATGAAAAGGTGGGGCAGCAAGTAAAGACTATTCTTTATGGATGTGGTGAAGGAACAGAGAAAGCATAATAGATTGAGGAAAGACATTTTAGGATGGGAAGACCTTCATTGATTTGCAGACAAAAATAGAAATAACCAGCAGAAGGCTGGGTGTGGTGGCTCACGCCTGTAATCCTAGCACTATGGGGGGCTGAGGCGGGAGGATCACTTGAGGTCAGGAGTTCAAGACCAGCCTGAGCAAGAGCGAGACCCCATCTCTACTAAAAATAGAAAAAATTAGCCAGACAACT